CCGTATCTACAAAATCGTACCTCAAACCCAAACATGACAGTCTGGATCCAACTTATGGTACAATAGATCTTGTTCTGTATGTTTACACAATCGGTGAATCATTTTCTTGAAAAAAGAAAAGAGCAATGCAGACACGGAATGAGGAATCAAGTTTTGGATTTGGTGACGCGCGTGCTGTTTGGCTAGACAAACACTACAGAACTATTCCAAGGTGGTTAATTGACCAACCTGATGTGAAATGTCTGAGATGAGCTTTGCGCCTCAAAGGAGCAACCTTTTATGTTCTGAAAGACCTCTCCCCAGAGGACCGAGACAAAATGAGACAAGCTGTTACTAAGCTCCGAACTCGTTTAGCGAATGACGAAACCAAACTTGACATTGTGGATTTTCGCGTAGTGCAGAAAATTCCCCGGACCCCAAGTGTAACTTTGCGTGATACATGTGAAGGTGCGCAGCCTCAAAAACTAGCTAGATGAGATTCAACTCCTTATTTCAGAGCAGCGACCGGATCTAATGGCGTGCACAGAGACCTGGCTGTCATCAATGATGTCGGACTCAGTGACACAACTTCCAGCTTATCAGCTCTTTCGATCTGGTCGCTCCAGTCGGAGATCTGGAGGTGGAGTAATCCTCTATTCCAAATCCTACCTCCAAGTCAACATTCTTAAAACGGGCTGCGACAACGATGATACGTCAGAAGTACACTGGTGTCGAATTCACCGTGGCCTCCAGTCGCTGACAGTCGGAGTAGTCTACCGACCCACATCAACATCTGGTTCCTGCCTCCTGCAATCAGTGAGAAATAATGCTAAATGCACGAACTGCCTGGTTATGGGGGATTTCAATGCCCCCGGCATCAACTGGGACATTCTTCATAGTGACATCCCCACGGATTGCTTTGAAGCTCGTCTGCTAGACACTGTCCTCGCAGGTAACCTCACGCTGCACGTCCTAACACCAATACGGATGCTCCCAAGCTAAACCTTTCATATTTTCGACCTGGTGCTCACTCCAGCTCCATTTGACGTCTCCGATCTAACAATCCTCCATCCGCCCGGCAAGAGTGACCACTCTGTCATCTTCTTCCAGCGGACCCGATGCCTTACATTTCACGACCAGGGGTCACTTCGTCGCAACTTCTGTGGAACCGACCAGTCCAGACTTAAAGCAGCGGCAAGCACACTGGATTGGAATATTCCGCAACCTTTGGATCTAGACGGTGCATGACAGCTGCTACGATCCAAGATGATGCTGCTCATCGAACAACACGTTCCAAACTGTAAAGCCAGGCCTTACTCTAAAGGCCCCCTGAATTGATAGAGAACTCAGCTCCTTAATGAACAAACGACGGAAACTGTGGGATTACTACAAGACCATACAACTAGCATCGAGCTACCTAGGGTACAAGGCTGTAAATTACCTTTGCACCTGAAAAAGCACAAGCGACTTCAATACGAACACCGCCTGGCCAAGGAATCTCTAACTTGTCACGAGAAACTCTCCTCATACCTGAAAGGAAATGTCACGGCAGGTAGTGGGATTCCCATGCTACTCTACGAGGAAAGCACTGTGCTTTACGATGAAGAGGAAAAAGCCAACACATTAGCTTCGTATTACACTTCGGTCTACTCATTGGAGCTCCCTCTACACATAAACTCTTTGCCTGCCCACTATCCCTCTATTGATCAAATCGAAATCAACCCTGAGGTGGTGGTGAATCTCCTTCTCGAACTGGATCTAAACTCCTCTCCTGGCGCAGATGAGTTGCATCCCGTATTCCTTAAGACTATGGCTGAATACATCGCTGTTCTCCTCTGCCAAAAAAGGGCACAGTGATGCCCAAGTAGAAGAGCGTAGACCACCAAGATCCGTCGAACTATCGCCCAATCTGCCTGATATCCGTCGTCTGTAAGATAATGGAACGGATCCTCAAACGCGCTTCACCTACACCGTGAGAACTACGACGTAATTTCTCCATCCCAACATGATCTTCGGAAAGCACGTTCCTGCTTCGCCAGAGAAACTTAGGCACAAGCCATACCCGAAAACATGTAGACGTGGTCTTCATCGACTTCAGTAAAGCCTTTGACATAGTTCCTTACCGAAGACTGCTGCTCAAAATTCAAGAGATTGGTGTGACGGGCAAAATCCTCTCCTGAATCGCCGACTTCCTAAGAGACCGCAGCCTACGCGTAAAGGTCAATCAGAGAACATCCTCCCCTGTGCCAATGACAAGTGAGGTTCCACATGGGTCTGTACATGGACCAGAACTTATCAAAATGTACGTAAATGACCTCTCGGGTACGCTCCAAACCGACTGCTTGATCTATGCTGATGATCTTAGGCTCTGGTCAACAGTATCCAGCCTAGATGATGCCGACAAATTACAGAAGTCTCCATAGTTAGGCTGCACGAGTGGTCTACCAACTGGCGATTAGCAGTAAATTGCGCTACATGCGCGGTTCTCCCAATCGGTAGCACTGACTCAGACGACACATACCACATTGGTACACCGCACAAGAATAAATAAATATTTTACTCTCGTATGCATCGACGTCATCGTATCCTCTGACCTTAGGACGTCCCAGAACATACTGAAGAAGGTCGCAGCTACAAAAAGACTTCTACGTGCCTTGAGAACGTCGTTCTCCTAAATGACTCCTGAGACCTTCCGATCTCTTTGCTCCGCATGCGTACGTCCCATACTAGAATATGAACAGCCAGCCGTTTTCACCTCTTTAAGTTTGCTGTTTGATAGAGAACGTCAAGAGGCGTGCCTCGAAAGCTGTCTTCGGGCTCCGCGATCTTCCTTCCCCTCTCCGCCTTCACCAGTTGAACCTGTTTTCCATGGAGTTCCGCCGTCGTCGCGGCGATCTCGTCTCCACCAGACGCATCCTACTTGATGAACTCGGAAATCAGCTCCTGCAAATCTTCCACCCCAACGCCAACTGCTAGACACGATGTCACAAATGGAGGCGCTTCAAAGCACGAACGCTCCATGCTCGCTCAGACCTCACTTTGTCCACTCGGGTGGTGAATGAGTGAAACAATTTACCTAAGGAACTTGTTGACGCACTTTCGGAGGAATGTTTCAAGAGGCTTTTAAACGCTTAATAAAGACGCTGGGATCCCGCTGCAACTGCGACGAGCCCTCGAAGAACGTCGTCACACCACGACACTTGGCTATCCCGCAATGAATATGAATCGACGAAGCTGACAAAGTTTCTCCTCTGTGCTCTCTACAATCCAATAAAATTACAACTCATAGTGTCTAAGAACTGAGTCACGGATACTATAGGACTAAGTGAATTTTATTTGTCTGTACTACTGGCGCCTACCTGGTGGGGTCAGTGTAGAAGCCGCAGATAAATTTAAAACGCATTAAGATGGGATGATAAATGAATAGACTGCAGATGGGATATCATAAGGCGAAACAAATTTTTATCTGCATTTTAAGCTTATAAATGGTGTACAGTGAGCCTACCAACTCGGCACATCGATGGCGTAAACAAGCTATTAACTTAAAAGCCAAATCACTACGCTGCGGGCTACTGCATGACAGTTTGCAAATACAGGGTACTCTCACCCGAGTATACAGCTTATTCGACGGATTGCATAGTGGATTTTGCTGTTCCTCAAACAACTTTCGATCCTCAGTAGCGTCAGGATACCAGATTGCGCCGAAACAATTAGAGCCGACACGTCGAAGTGGCACTATCTTAGCAGGAATTCTCTGAGGGTATTTTTGTTCGCCGCAGTCAGCCGACAATTCAGATAAGTCAACTACCTATCCGGAAAAGCACCAGCCGGCCGTTTCGTCCTATTGGGGCTCGTCAGTCGTACGCATCCTTCGGTCCTCTACGGAGGATCGAACCCATGACTGCTAGTGGGTTGTGCCAACTAGCGCGCAGCTTATGCCACTGAGCCATGGAGGACGGCAGCCGACCATCACGAACTGTTAGCTAATTGCGATATAGCCCGACCCATCGCAGTTAGCTAACAATTCGTGATGGTCGGCTGCCGTTCTCCATGGCTCAGTGGCATAAGTTGCGGGCTACTTGGCACAAGCCACTAGCAGGCATGGGTTCGATCCTCCGTAGAGTACCGAAGGATGCGCACCACTGACTAGCCCCAATAGGACGAAACGGCCGGCTGGTGCTTTTCCGGATAGATAGTTGACTCATGTGAATTGTCGGCTGACTGCGACGAACAAAAGTACACGCCAAAATCCTTCTACTCATAGATAACTCTCTGAGGGTGTTAGACCTTACATATTAGTTCTTTTAATGAGTCTAGAATGAGGAACCTCGAAGGATGCTGGAATCCTTATGGCATAATATGGGATTGTTCTGGAGGCACATGGCAAGCCACACATAAATGAGGTGGTCTAGCCTTCCTGTACCGATTGCAAATATAACTTATTGTGCAACTTGCTGTCAAGGTTCTTCTATTTTATCCTACTGGCCATTTCGTGCACTCTGTAGCCAAATGGTAATGCAGAACGGAAATGCCGCTGGAAAGTCACCCAAGTTAGCTGCTTGGCTACAACCACTAGGCGTTTCTTTTATTGGTGCTTAACTCAACACGTAAATTATCTGCCCTACAATGCACACCGAACAATGCTGCTGCTCACTAACTGTATTAAAACATTTAACAATATGTGGTACAACCATTATAACATTCAAAAGAAAGTTCTTTTAGAATCTCACTGTCCTTCCGGAACGCATTGTGATTGTTATCAACAAATGAAAGGGCATATAACTGATGGGAGCTAGGATTCATGCGAACGAAGCGGTGAATTTGTTACACCTTATAAAGTTTGAATTAATCTGTAGACTAATTAGAGACCAGCTTACCCTACTTTGGGATTGATTAGCGCTCTGAACTGCTGTATCACATGCTTAACCCATTAATAATGATTGTTCATCTCAAGTACTATCCAACTACTCACCTTGCTGTTTTCGTGCTAGTGTTGAACACCATTTTCTTGATGAGAACTAATGGATCTCACTGACACTGCTTATTTGTCATCCATTCCAGAACTAATGAAAAAAGTATTGCTTCTACTGACTATCGTGCAGCCATTAGTTACCATCGGATCATGTTTTGAAGATGTGATCAGTGTGTGGTTGACCGAGCTGGATAGAGGCAGATCCAGACCGCTGCTTGGAATTTCGCGGCATCCGGTCGGCTTGGCTTACTTGAGAGGGTTCTCGAAGGGTATTTTCGGCACAACTCTTTTTCCAGGGCTTATAATCTCAGGGGTACCAAATGATCAAGGTAACTTGCTTAAAACCTGTCTTTTGGTATGTATATTCAAAAACCTGATAATTTAAATTTACTTTGTTTAGCAGCATGATAATAAAAGCAAAACAGCTACGCTGTATTCAAGCCATGATTTGAGACTCTCAGGCATTCATTGGTGTAAAATATTCCACCGCTCGGCCGAGCTCAACTCTGTATTTTGAGATCAAATATCTACTTTCTGAAATGACTTAACGATAGAATGTTTTCCAAATTTTTGGTATATTCCTGTCTGTTTCGGCTTGAAATATCAGTGTCCTAATGGCTTCAGCCACATTACACAAAGGAAGCTTAATACCATTTTAAACACTAGTTCACAAGTACGAGTATTCTGTAGGATGCGTTCATCTATGATATAATCCGTCGATTATCGATGTAGCCGGTTTCAATTGTACAACACACCAACTGGATAATGGGTAGGATCTGGGTAGTAGCTTCACTTGGTCTGCGCTCACGTATACTTACTCGCACCTGTGAATAAGCATCGCGACGGATGTCGCGGAGATGGATCGGAGCCTCAATGCGTACAACTAACTGTCCTGACACAAGTTCGCGAGAAACTGGTGGTGCATTGTGCCTAAACATTGCTGATGTGTCTCTTTCTGACTCCGCGTGCCAGAAGTCCCAGTTCTAAGTGAATGAGACCACGCTGATTAGCGACTGTGAATATGCGGTGCCTAACCGTATGTAACCTACCTACATGCAATAAATATGAACTGTAGATCAAAACCGGCTGTAGATAAGAAAACTATGGACAAACTTCCATTGAGCAGGAAAACAGATTAGAGGACAAACGCAGTGCCAATGCAGATCACTAAAAGTGAACCGATCTAAGCTTTCTTTGGTCCGGTGCAAATGAGGCGATGAAACATTCCCCAAAAACACACCATTCGAGGAATTTGCGTTTAACGTAACCTCCATAACGCAACCATCATAATCACCACGTACTGTCAACCTCATCCGGCAAATCAGCTCGATGTATTTATTGTAGCCCAGAACATACAACTTAGTCGGATCGTTAATATAGTCAGCAAGGTATAAAAGCTTGTGCATCTTTGACATTTAAGAGTTGATGTCCGTGTCAAACAGTTAACTTGAACAGTATTTTGACGCGAAAATTTGTGCCACTAGCGGATCAACCTGCTGGCATTGTGTGAAAACCCTGCAAGTTGCGCCCTCGGTTGCCACCATCCGTTTAGGAGTTTTATCCGAGCTAAACTGTTTTATACCACCTCCTGCCATAAACGGAACAACTCCCGTGGAGCAGCGCCCCAATCTCTGACGGTTGTGGGAACTGTTCGAATTTATGCCTTTACACTCACACTGCTGTAAGATATCGCTGCCCGAAAGTTAAGATCTTTTCCTTTCCTCGATTGTCATCATCATATGTTAATCATTATGTTGACCGTACAATCCTCATTTGAAGTGTACGTCGAGACCTCCGAACAATCTTCACTTGTTTTTATCCGATATGGAAAGGGTTACTCTCCCATTGTGAATTGACAGATTTATCAATAATCAAGAAACCGTAGAGCAATTATACTAATAGAATAAGTTTCCAGAGATATTGGTTGATAAAATCTACTCTGAGTTCCAGTCAACTCCTTGCCGCAACTATGCGGTTCAATTGAACACTTTTACATCAAACCAACTAAAGTTTATAATATATGCTGGAACTAACAGCGGGATTATGGCCTTCGTTAGTTAGATTGTTGAACGGTACGTTATGGCTCTGCAGTAGTGGTTGGAAGCTGTGGCTTGTAGAAAGATTGCTAGGTGTGGTCATACTATACTTTGTTTTCTAGGGCTGACTAATGAACCTGTATGGTAAACATATTCCCTATACATCACGAAAAGAATGCCTACACCATCGTACGCTTGTCTTCTAAACATCACGCACAAACCACTCTCCTGTAAACCTACTACCAAACGTTTTTTGCTAGGTAGTACATTTCCATTTTATTGTTCTGGTGAGCCATGCCTCCAAACCGAATTGAGGCATACTCTTCAATACTGCTCAAACACAGCGCTATTATGAAGAAGAGAATTACGAGATGCGTTGCGCATTCTATAGTCTAAGCATGCCACAGATGAGCAGGTACGTGTGTCTTAGCTCGGTAGCACCTAATGTTGAATACTGCCGGTTCTACACCAGCTCCAAGATGAATCTGACGATCCATGTTTCGGGGATCAGACTCCGCACAGGTGTTGTTTCAAGCGGAAGTGGTCCGCACAAAGCTATTGTGCTTTTCTGCACCGCAGTGGTCACCGTATCCGACAACCTATTCCGGGCTTTTTGAGTGCCCTTTCGTCTCATCCAGGTTTCGTTCTGCCCTGGTGTTTAAGTGGGCACTAGAACATCTACAACGAAAAAGGTAAACATTATCAACACCCAACTGTACTTCAAGTTATGCGAGGTAACTAGTTGAAGAAAATGATAACTGGCACTTTTATTCCACCATCCATTTTCCACAGTTCGGGACTTAGTGAATGGCATGAATGACGCAGCTTTCAGCGTTCATTTGAATGTGCTTGAAAATTATCGCCGTTTTTACGCGTTTCTGGAGTCCGAATTCTGCGCTTACTCGTCAAGGTATGATAGGTGGCCTTGTTGTGATCAGCCAAACTTCCACGTCTCCTGTGCCGACGTCCCAAAGAACGCACATAAAGTGGCGAAGCTGATACTTGACCCAACGTACGGTATAAGCTTGAACTTTCTGTATCGCTGGTGCATTCAAGTGAGCCAGGATGTCCATTAGTTCATCTCTTTTACGGTTTTGATGGTGAAACACACTTATATATCTAAGCTAACCGACTCACCGTTCATCCGATGACAAGAACAATGCCAATTGAGCGCGAAGTAAGGAAGCGGGGAAATCACATCAGGATTTTGCCTTCTCGAAAGTCAAAATATCAAGAAGAAAGAACATTTCAACTGAATAATCTGAATTAGGATACTTCGTATGTTGTCATCGCCTGTGTACAGACTAGTTGTGGAAGCAGTAGGTTACATACACAACAGTAAGACAAGGCGTGAAATGGTTCTGTTTAAATCAGGGATGTCCAAAGTCTGGCTCGCGGGCCAAATGCGGCCCGCGACCTGGTCATGAAGTAATAAATCCAGGCTTAGATTTTTTCTTACCTCTATATATTTTGTTATCTTATTTTCAGACTAAATTCGGCCCGACCTATTTTTTCGTCACAAAATGTGGCCCTCTTTACAGAACGTTTGAACACCCTTGGTCTAAATAAAGCTAGTAGATAGGCTCACAAGGGCAGGGTGGAGTAGTCACAAACTCTGCTCGCATAAATTAAGTTTCAGCAGACGGATCACGAAATCCTCTGCAAACTGGAGCAGATGAGCAGTGCTCTGTCGATTAATGATTTTGTACGCTTCCCGCGGATGTTCGCACGTAGAACAATCAAGGATATGCTGAGCGATGAAACGTGCGGGCGGTTTAGGGCCATTTACAACTAATTTATGTGAGACATGTCCTTAAATCCTCCTGGACAGTCTGCTCTCAGTCCGGCCCACGTACTTGCTACAGCAACTACGATGACGCTTTCCAACTTTCGGATGTGAAACTGAAAGAAATCCAAAGAGTACACTCACTCCACCGGTGTATCGTAAACCTGTTTGGACGGGAAAGTATCCAAACTTTAACAGTTTTTGCCCCATAAACTACAAACGTACGCTCCCAGGCAACACTTTCGCAATAGCTCGTAATATCTACTCCGAAGAGACAGTTGACAATGAGCCGCAACATGTCTCAGCAACACTACGAGATAACGGGTGTCGCGTGATGTTCACGGCGCGCCACTCAAACATAAAAACCATTTAGCAGCGTAAAGCCAACGTCCTTAAGAAGAAGCTATTTATTATGTAGCTATTCAAAAAAAACCAAGTTGACAGGGGATTCCGGTATCGTCTTCGCCAGCCCATTAATAAATGCCATTATGCGCCTAGCTGGTGCTACTCCACTAATTTACAAGGTTGTTCTACAAATCCGACTTGGACAGGTCAGACTCTAAAGTTATCACATTTTGCATCTACTATTTTCATTGTACCTGTGATAGAAAGTACATGATGCGAACTGATAGGAGGCTGCCTAGGAGGATTTCAGAGCATGTCCCACGTAACCTGGTGGCAGATGGCTCTAACCCGCTCGCAAACTCTATCGCTCATTTGTTATTATTTTTATGTTTTTTTATTTTTCAACCCTTGATTAGTTTGTGATTCGCAACTTTTCACGATATATGAGAAACAACAACAAAAATGGGAAAATCTGGAAGTCAGTGGAAACGTTAGTTGGATTTATATGTTGTGTAGGTAGACAGCTTTCCGGTTGCCCAAGCCGAGGAAGTGGGTTGACTTAAGGGATCCCACCCCGAGCCTTTGGTCATAAAGACCTGACTCGCAAGGCAGTGGGGCGATTCACGCGAATTTCCGAGGACCGTTGACAGCCAGGTGGCTTATTCGCCTTTTTGTGCTCAGTAGCAGACCACACAGAACTCAGTGGCCAGCAAGGTTTTTCATCCGCCCTCTATCGCTCAGCGTATCTTTGATTGTTCTACGTGGCGGGAATCGTGCAGAATCATTGATCGACTGCGCAATGTTCATCTGCTCCAGTTTACGGAGGATTCAGCGATTCGTCGACTGGAATATAATTTGTGTCAGCAAACAGATTTGGTGACAACTCTCACCTTACATTGATGAGCCTATCTACTAGATTTTTGTAAACAGAACCATTTCACACCTTGTCTTACTTTTGTGTGTGTAACATACTGATTTCACACCTAGTCTGTACACAGCTATGAGAACACATGAACGATCTGAATTCAGATTCTTCTGTTGAAATGTTTCTTTTGGCTATTATGAAGCGAAAAATATTTTATTTTCATGAGGACATATTATTTAAATCCGTCTTAGTAAACAATAGCTCTCGCGTAAATCGTGCAGCACCTTTACCTGACGTTCTGCGCCTTGATTCATACGGAAAATGGCCTTTATGAATGTGTCCAAAATTCTCCTCATTTAGCAATTAGAATATAGCCGCAAGGTTTACACAAGCTAGGTTCTAACACATGATGTCCAACCTTGTGTCTTAGTGCACAGCAGAGTATACGTCTAATTCAGCCGTATTCTATCTATAGCCGTTTTAGTTCTGACCTTCTAGTACTTTCAGATGTGTTATTTATCTACCAGCTACCGCACGAGTGCGCCGCCTGACACCAAGCGAGCACCATCTTGGGGGTAGTTTTGGCCTCAGTAGCAGCCGATCGGACATTGGAGACAAACTACTGACTCGTTGTTCTGATCATCGCTTGTTTCTTTCGAGTACAAGTTTTGGTCATTCGAAAAGACAGACTGCTACTTGGCGTCCGCCTTCTTAAACACAAGAATGGTCCCAGCTTGACCACATAGCAATAAGCTACAGATGGCGCGGAAGCGTAACAGACTGCCGATCGTACTGGTCAACTTGTCTGGACTCCGAGCACGCACTGGCTCACGCCAAAATTTGCATGCGTTTCGGAGAATCATCCAGACCTCCGCACTACCGGCCGAATGTCGAAAATCTGCAACATCCTGCGAAGTTCGCCAAGTACCAGGCTTCTATGTCTACACTACTGGCTTTATCCTCCCACGATGGTCTCAATTCACAATAGATGCGCATCAAAGACGCTTTAACTTCTGCCAGTACTATCAGTTGTGGATTTGCTTGTCACCCGCCGAAAAGCTGGATCAGCACTGCCTCATTGTCGCTGATGGACAGACGCCGCTGGATCCCAGCCGACGCGAGGTGTAGTGAGGAACGTCGATCCCTGGATCGAGCGTTGCGTATGGGCTTACAGAAGGACCGTGAGAATTAGTGGTGTGAACATGCTAGAGAGCTTGAACTTGCTAATCTCTCTTGTAACACCAGAAAACTGTTCCATCGCATCCGAGCCACCGACGACTTCCGATTAGGAGTAAGCGAAACAATCTGCGAACGTGATGGCTCCCATATCACTAATCTTCGATGACGGTTGGAGCGGTGAGCCGAACGTTTACACTCGCAGTTTTCCTGGCCTCCAGCTTCATCTCTTTCCCCTGGAACGCGCACTGGTGATGGGTGGACTATCCCAAATGATCCTCTTTCTCACCAGGAAATCTGGCGGGAACTCTGCTGCCTAAAGCGTTATAAGGCACCCGGCCCTGATGGTCTACCTCCTGCTCTATTTAAAAATGGGGGCACTTCGCTGGTTTGCGAAATCACCGCTTTTTTCTCAGAAGTCTGGGCAAAAGAAGAGGTTCCATCATCCTGGAGTGGATCGGTAGTCGTCCCCATCTTCAAAAGCGCCTGCGCACAAATTGTTCCAATTACAGCGGCATAAGTTTGGTTCCCGTAGTTTGCAAGATTCTGGTGTCCATCATTCTTCGCAGGCTATCCTTAACGCGTGAATCCATACAGCGCGAAGAACCGGCAGGGTTCCGCCTTGGTCGCGGCTGCATCGATCAAATTTTCACACTCCGCCAGATTCTCGAGCTCCGCCATGTGTAGCAAAAACCAACGATTGTTGTGTTCCTGGATACCCGTGCTGCCTTCGATTCTGTCGACGGGGCTGCATTAAGGCACTGTCTGTTTAGGACTGGTGTTCACGGGAAATACGTTTCCATTCTGCGTGCTCTGTATTGTCTGATCTCGGGCTTATGGCAAGCTTTCGCCTTCCTTTGTTGTCACCAATGGGGTTCGACAAGGATGCTCTATCTCTCCATTCCTCTTTAACTTTGTCATTGAGGATGTCCTTAAAATGCTCTAGAAGACTTGTTGGACACTAGCGTTGAGCTGCTCCTAGGTAGTCGGGTGGTTGATTTGGATTACGCTAATGATATCGTCTTGTTGGGTGACGGTCAGCAGGCCATCCAACTTGCACTTAACAGCCTGGCGATTGAAGCGTCGATGTATGACATGCACCTTTCACCATCCAAGTGCAAAGCGCATTTTCAAGACTTGCACTCACCACCGATAGAGAAACGTTAGATGTGTTACAGAGTTTTGTCTACCTGTGAAGCTGCGTAACTGCTGGTGGGGGTGTTGGAAACAAGATTTAGATGTGTATCTAAAGAGCTCGTCTCGCCTTCTTCAGGCTGAGGCATTATGGCGCCGCCATGACATCCGTCTCTCCATCAAAGGATGGGTTTATTGTGCCACTGTCCGCGCTGTACTGTTGTAGGGTTGCGAGACTTGGCCTGCTCGTACCGATGACTTACGTCGACTGTCTGTCTTCGAGAACCGTTGCTTGTGGTCCATCGCCCGTGTGTGGTGGCTGAACCACGTATGCAACGTTGAAGTCAGACTGCGCGTCTTGGGTAGAGACGGCCACTCTCTCGAGGCGCTCGTCTTGCTGCGCCAACTACGATGGCTCGGACACGTACTGCGTCTGCCAGTTCATCGTCTTCCACGTCGTGCCTGATTCGCGGTCCCTGGACAGGGTTGGAAGAAGCAGTGTGGTGGACAGCCTGCAATTTGGAGAAGCAGGATGACAAGCTGACAAAACAGATGGCCACGTTTGGTTCCTCCCGACTCCCTGGATGGAGTCCGAAGGATGCTAAGTGCAGTTGTTTGGAAATATTAGAAGTTACGGCTCGAAACCGAACTTAGTGGCGGGCGTGTATCTCTGCTTGTTGCGGTGATTCCCATTCCCTCCGCCAATAAAATCATCAAAAAACTCCAACACAGCGAGTAGAAAAATGGACAAAAAATTATTTGTTTTCTTTCTTTCACTCTTTGTTTTTCTATTCCGCCATGGTCCCCATGGCACAATAGCTGTACACAGATTGTGATATATATATGTATATATACATATATATATATATATTTATATATATACTGTCCTTTCATCATTAGCTTAGATTGTGTCTTCAATCGTTAAATAACCAAAGATGATGGAAAGTAACATTAGAGTTAGAGTCCCCAAATAATTGCACTGATATTTTGTTAGTCTTCCTATATTGTGGCTTCCTGTCGCTAGCTAACCTGAGCTACATGTGCCAATATCTGTCCTATTGCCACATAAATGAAGCTAACGCACGATACCAAATGTCTGAACGTTTAAAGCGGATGTTTGATGAATTTGGTGGCATTTTTCTGCAAATGTTCCTGAACTCCTCCTCTATAAAAATTAATGACCATCCACAGTTGCGCGTGCTTTTGTGCCTCACAGCAACAATGGGCCCCATCATTTTCCACACATAGTTAGGTACTGGTTGGTTCGCTCTGTTATGAGAAGAATGCCAGAATGTGGATAGGGCCGATGGTATTTGATATTATTAGTGCACAAATCAAACCAGTGTAGAAGGACGGCTAAGTCGGTTAATAGGCAGCTGACTCACCGATGATTAGTTGGTCTGTAGCAGTCTAGTTGAATACAACCATACGCTGGCATTTGGTTACGGCCATACGGTTTGAGTTGGATTTCCACACACGACACTTACTGAACGCGATTGTCTTAAACGGTTGACTCATCTGCATCACTCAGATAAACATGTCACGTCGCCATGACCACGGGGGCACTGTGAACTTCAGCAGTTGTTTAGGAGCTGGGGCCAACAACGGATTAGATTTTCCTGCACGGTCGCGTGAACTCAGCATCACAACGCGTGTTGTTAGCTAGACTGATATGATTGCTTGTGAATGTCATTCGATTCATTGTATTGGGTCATGAGCTTACACGTTATTCTCGCCACTCAACTGTTATGGCTCTTAATTGGCGATGCTTCCTACTCATCGATCCAAGTTTATCCCTAACCAATGGGGCGCATAGTCCTGTTAGTTGATGACTGGACGGTCGGTTTAAGTCGCACCGACTATGTTAACCACAAGGGTATTAGCTTACTTGTGGTAGTGACAAAAGTACTGGCATCAATTCTCGTTCGTCGCCTCACTGCGAAACGGCAATCCCTGATTGGGGGAGAACAATCAGGCTACCTCTTAGGACGTGGCAGTATAGTCCACAAATCTAATCTGCGGCCGATGCCAGAGCAACGCCACACGTATCGCCGACCGACAACAGCTGTATGCCTCAACTTCAAGGGTGCGTTAGACCCAGTCTGTCAATCTATTACGTTCGAGCTACTAATGTGGGAAGGTGTTTCCGTGAAACATGTGAACATTTTTGTGCCCTTTACTCGAACAACACAGACCTCATCAGCTTCTACGGAAATTTGTCGGATGCCTTTCCAACGACAAGTGGTGCACTTCAGCGTTGTCCAGTTGCCTCATTTTTGCTTAACTTCGTCGTAGACTCCGTCATGGAGTTTTCCCTTGCGAAATCTCACGATACAAGCGTTGATGTGATGCCTGGTTAAAAGCTAGTTGATCATGAGTATGCGGACGAAATTTTCTTGAGGTTTAATGATGTGGCGGCGCAATCATCCCTGAATAATCTTTGCAGAGTAGTCCCATCATTTGGCCTTCGCTTCGCACCTACAAAGTGCACTGTTGTTACAGTACCACCAGCCATTTGATGAGCCTTTGACACTTAACAGTGAGGAACACGAGGTAGTTCATCACTTCACCTTCTTTGGCAACTGTATCAGTAACGACAGGCGCATGGCAGCTGAAGTTAGTTCACGGAATGCAAAAGCCAGCACTTTCTTTTTGTATCTGCGACATCTTTGCGTCATAAAAGGCAGCGTATACAAGGCCACAATAAGGGCCGTCCTACTCTATGGAAGCAGGACTTGGTCCTATCGATCTGACGACCTGAGACGCCTTTAAGACTCTGACCATCGTTGTCTGCAAGGTATTGCTGGTGTCGAATAGCACCAGCGTGTCCGCAACGATGATGTGCGCAAAGGAGTAATAGGCACTGATAACCGGGCTATTTGCTTAGAACAAGATAGAACTGAATAAGTTGCCTTGACTTGGGCATGTACTACGTACGTCCGGTCACCGCTTACCGAGAATGGTCTTGTTTTCTTTGCCAGATGTAGATGGGTGCAAGGACCGAGGGGATCAAAACATAAGTTGGCAGTGAGAAACGAAGTCACTGACGACCAAACTCGGCGCTGTCCGTCTGTCTCGCCTTTCATACTGGAGTCCATGTGACTCCCCTTGTGCATAGCTGGAGACGTTACAGAACATTGCTCGCAGACGGCACCAGTGGCGTGTCTGTTGTCGTCTCCTAGGCGGACTGCCCGGTTAAAGTGTGTTTGGTGGTGAATTATCTGCGTGCAATGGCTGCTTATAAAGCGAGACAGTGAAAGCCGCAAGGAACCCGTCTCGCCGATGTCGCCTTATCTTTGCACAATACGCAGCTGTTTGTGCTGCCATGACGTTACCAACGTATAGGCGCCTTCACCGTGAGTGTTTGTTTAGGGCTTTAAGGTTTTACTCAAGCTCCACCTTCTCCCTTCCTTCATTCCGTAAGTCATTTTGGGTGTGTGGCAGCGACGCGTTAGTTCAAATGGTTGACGTACAACCGTACGTCAACCGGTTATGGATGACCATGGTTGATGATGATGATGATGATGATGATGATGATGATGATGATGATGATGATGATGATGATGATGATGATGGTGGTGGTGGTGGTGGTGAGGTGGAGGAGGAGGAGGAGGATGAGGATGATGAACCACATAATACACTGAAATCTTAAACAAACCCCATATTCCGATGGTGTGGCAACTGCATGAATGAAAGTGTTTATAATCGGCTTTCTTTAGAGTTAAACGTATGAGTTATCTTTTTAGTCATTGTGCAAGACTATATTTTAGCAGGGCCCGTGAGCAAGCAAGAACAAACACTTCGTTAAACTCACACGATCTGGCGTTCAGCGCATACGATGAGCTTATCTACTCTTAATCAACTGCTTGTCACGATAAACTTTACAGTTATTCTACCAACCTCACAGCACGTACTCCTTGCTTGTGAGTCGCTAAATCGGACACTGGCTCATGCACATGAGTCTGTCGTTAGCCTACTTTGTATCCTGCACGGCTAAGTAGTCGTTGATGATCAAAGCGCTCATCTAAATTGAACAGTGGTATATTACGGGTAAAAAAAACCAGTTGTTTTACAAGTCCCGTTGGATGGCCAGAATCAGGACCACAAAGTGGTGAATAGAAAACAAAGTGATCAAATGAAAACCGTTTTGGTGGACTCGCCACAACGTTCACACAGAGGTATGCAGAAAGGGGCCAACCCCGATTGTGCAGAGCATACAAGTGAACGGTGAGCATCATTTGAACTTGGAATGAAAACGTTCGGCCCATCGATCCAAGCATCTCTTTAGGTTGGCAATCAGCTAACCAACCGCTGCTCGATTAGCCTCACTTACACCAGGCTTCTGTGGCAAGCTGTAATAGCTTGCGAGTATTGTCAGAGATGGCGGCAGCCTCCATTTCCGAAGCACGCTGAGCCCACTAGGCTTCACGACTACTGCGTAGGTTTTGTTTGAGCTGCTGACTGACGGAACTACGCACTTCGTTATGATTAGACTCCACTGGAATATACCTGTGACGGTCGAATATATCCAAAGAGCGCGTAGAGGTCCATGCCTTTATAATGGTGCTGAGTAAGACCACAGACTAATTGTCAGGAAGAGATCATGATCCTCCGGATGAATATCTAGTGTTCATCAATGTCTTGCGGTGGGTAACAACCGAGTGCACAGGCCAGAGCAGTTTAATAACTCTGCTGAACTGAGAGAGTAGATAGTTTATTTGTGTTTACATTACAGTACTTCGTTTTCGGAACCCTCCGAAACAAATACAGATGGTCGCACAGTCAAGAGCGTGGTCTGAGTCAAGAAGAGTGGACCAGCTGGATCTGCAATCCTTTACACTAGTCCGCCATCTGAGACTGCTTACGATATGATTAGTCTGAGATCGTGATTGAGACGCAGAAATGGGTCACCTAGTAGCGGAACGTCTCCTCGAATGTCGAAATATGGTACTCGAGAAAAACAGGTGAGAAGTCTCTGTCCATTATCTGATTGGCTCTCCTCGGACGCATGGTAACCACTGAGGTGAATTTCGCAACATAATAGGCGACTGACCCGTGCGTTGAGATCCCCAGCAAGAACAACAATATCGGATGTGTAGGCTCTGCTCACGAGCTGATGAAGATCAAGGTAGAAATTGTCCTTCACCGAATCGCAACTGAGATCAGTTGGAGTGTAAGCTGCGATCATAAACTAGTTGCGTCCCTCTTCACCACGTCTGTTGATCCTACCTGATCCTCGATGCTGAACTGCAAACAGTCGGCTGTAAATCGGGAATCATTCAAGCAGTGCAGCCTCGGCTTTGCTACTTACTACTACAACAACGCCAGCCAAATCTGCCGCAGCCGCTTCTGTGTCACCAGATAGACGTAGGTTAAATATGGCACTATGGTCGGTGGGAGATCTTAATCACAGTTATCTGATCTTATAAGCGCGTTTCGGAAAGATAGGAAAGGTCGATGGCGAGAGATTCCAAGGTGCGCTCAAGACAAGCCTGCTGTTGGATCTGCATCAGTATACGTAGATTGAAACTTGCCAGATGAAACGAAGTCCGAGGCCGAACGAGGGCCACTGGGCGAGCTCTGTGGGTATCGATGAAACCATTGGAAGTAGAACCATGAAAACAGGAATCAGTTGGTAGAGGATAACGCTGATTGGTAACAAATGAACACTTGCACAGACTACGTCGATAAGATGACACTGTTTCGGTGTGGAAAAAGTAGAGTTCCTCGTCACCACTAGCCATATTAAGACGGCTGAGTCGTTGCTGGTCCATCTATCACGCCAAGGCTGGTTATCACTGGATACATGGTTACTTCTAAGTGCTGTTGCAACACTGAGTAAAGATGGCCCACCCTAGTTGACTTTACTTTCAATTCAACTCCACATAAGTTTTATGGGCGAATTTTTCAGCATTTCACCTGCAAGTAACTAATCTCGTTACTGCGACTAGGTGTATGTGATCAACAAGAACGAGTTCAAGCTTTACAACTGCCTTGATGCGCAATCACCGTACGATGCCAACCCAGCGATACGCATGATGTATTGATGTAAGTCTGCATGTATCAGCTACCGAGCTTACACTTGGCCAATACGTGAAGTACCTGGTTCTTAGCAGTTGATACAGGCAGATATAGTACTTGGGGATTTTGCGAATGAACATACGGAGAAGTAGAAAATCATTGCGGAAAAACGGTTATTGTATGTCCGGTGTATTTACTAAAATTTGTTCGCTATCTGAACAACAATATAATAATATGTGATTTAATTGGGATATCGGAGGGATGAAAAATGAGCCGAGGGAAAAAAAGGCAATAGTACGTGACTTTGGTTGTTGGAGTAGCCACAATCCATATACTAGAGCAGGGTCTTATGTAATCAATGTGGGGGCGGACTAACGGGGTATACAGCTTAAACACTAACCGGTAACCTTCCTTTTCTGCTTCCTGTGCAACATATTGAGGACGTACTCTTCCTTCCGAATTGCTAGCTTATTGATGTTCATGCATGCAATGGAACAGTACAGGAAGTCGCAAATAGCCTTTTTTGAAATTATCAGATACCAAATTGAAATCATGGAGGCGCGCACTGACCCGTCTCTAGTCAGAATGTCGAATACCAGGTAATTCACTTTGAAACAGTGTAACCGTACAGAATAGAAGGAGCATTTATTTCTTGCTAGCACAGGCTCAGCGAATAACAGCAACCAACTTCTGCCACTCGTGGCAGATGGGTGGTTTGGAACAAATCTAGGTATATCCGGCGACCATTGGCGTACAATTTCAGAAGCAACTCATCTTATATGCACCTGGCTACCTGTAGAAATCTTCGGATTTGCATTGTTGTCTACCGTTCCGATATGACCATCGCTGAACGGTGGAACACTGGTGTATTACGGGGAAATATGCAGCTACGTAACAACTACCATGGGATGACCAAAATGAGAATGACAAAATTAGAGAAAAGAACACATGGCTATAAAATCCAAAGTGTATTGTTGGACTCACGATGTTGTTTCCAGTGAAGCACACATTTCCTTTGCGTAGGGTAAAGGTGGTTGGTGCATCGTTTTCAAGTTATATCGGTTTTCGATGTACACCGGCTATATTTTGCAGTGTATGTGACTTAGGGCGATGTCAAAGCGATTTTAATCACATGAGTAGTGTGGGTGGAAATAGCGTAATTAAGTAGAGCGTTCCGAGGCTGACACACACGAAAAGAGTAAAGGTTTTTACAACATTCTAGCCAATTGTATTGCGTGGCCAACTTGTACTGTTGGCGCCACAGGTTTGTGTTGTTGTTAAGTTGCAGTAGGTGGTGACAGAAGTCGTTGGGTTTCCTCGGAGTCTGGTAGACCATTAGTAGGTCACCACATAGGCGTCGATACTAGCCACAGTATAATCAGGATTCTCAGCTTAAATTGTTATGGAAGGTGACGTGCATGGTAAGTCTCCCCAGTGGAGCCTAGCGCTGAGAGATCTTTCTTGCACCAAAACTTGCGGGCCTGGATTGCGTATTCCACGTTGGACCACACGAGTGTGTTAAGTATCGGCTGGCAGACAGACGAATCAAACATACCGAATGCTCTCCACAGGTTGCCAACTTGTTGGTTCTCTGTCTTTGACACGCAGATTATGCATAAGTTAGATCAGAGGCAATTTCAATTTTACATTATTGGTGGTTTTGTGAGTAGTGTAATTTTTGTAGAAAGTAGAAGCCACAATAATCTGCCCCGTCGAGGCAGATTATTGTGCAAAATTTAATCGTGGCTTCTACTTTCTACAAAAAATTTCAATTTTAGTTAACAAAATCACCAGTCAGTATCTCCATCTGATTTTAATAGTAAACATGCGAGAACAAGACAAGAAAATGTACTTCAATTTGTTACCACATGTCTCTGTTCGTCACCGGCGCTAATCTTGTGCAGTGTACACCACCCAGTTCAGTTAAAATAATTGGATATGTTGGAACCGATCGCACCGGTATCCATTTACGCGGGCCTTACGCAAACTGGCTTAGGGTTTCTCATGAGTTGAAGGCAGTGGAGCAGACAGAGACTAATCACCGATATTTCGATCAATTACTGCATTTGTTAAGCTATGAATGCCATAACGTCCGCAAACTGCATCGTGCCATGGGACAGAAGATTGCACTCAGGATCATTAACACTTGTATGAAGTTGTTCATCACCAACAGTTGGCTATATATGATGTCATTCTGGCCTCGAACTAGTAAAAACACGGAGGCTTCTTTTGGTATTTTGTGTCCTCCCTAAGTTTACACCAGTTCCGTATTGCTCTTCCATTAATTTTTCGACATAGTAATAACAGATTAATGGAGTCATTACACTATAATGGGTCTACTCCCACCCACACAGGCATGGTATGAATATACTCGATACGGAAATGAGCGTAACCCGGGCCTGCGGAAGGAAATTTCTGATTACTGCCCTAATCCTTGTTATGGGAAGCCGTGCCTGAGAGTGACCGGGGTCACGGATGGATACGCATGTGAAATTCACGGACCTTTCGAAGTGAGCCATTTGTACACCGTTGAAATGCTATCCTACAGTCACTACGCTTGTAATACATCGACTCTCACCTCTACGGCGATGGATGGTGTCAAGCTCGGTGAACATGGATTGGAGAGCTTTTGGCTAAGGGGTTTGGTTCTTAACGGAAAGTGGAGTGGGCCTATAGGGAATCCGTTGCATAGTCACTGGTAGTTTTATGAATTTTCGACTATATGCATTCAGGCTTTCAGTAAGCATTCAGCGAGCGGAAAGCATGTATGCCGGTGACCAAGCTTGTAGGGATTTGCCACGTTGCTTGTGCTCGTTTTTCTATCCGCGTTTGTTGCACGATACCTTAGGATTTACGGCACAATAGCTGAGACGTTGTTCCACTTCTAGGTAGCGGGTATAAGAATATAATGATGATTCGCTTTTTACGAACCGTGGTTCTTAATGCAGTCAGTTAACAACGAGTTAATGCCCGGGTGTTCAGTACCTGAGACATACTTCTGAACGGATTTAGCTGCATTCACTATAACAGAATTTATTTCACCCTCTAATGAGACTGCCAAGCTGAATGTGGTACGGCGTATGCAATTTCACACAGTTGGTGATTTCAGTTCCAAAACCATCTATTTTTGTACTTTGTGCACAGAGAACTAATTAAGGTGTGGTACCACATGTCTAAGTTTTTATTAGACCGGAGCGATAACAAAAGTCAAGCTGAAAGAGACACAAGACCGTGCATGTAAGTCAAACCCTGAGGATTTCAACTACACTGAACCATGTAACTATCAATCAATCAGAATAGTCCTCCGTTATTATTGTTATCGGTACTAGTAACGTATGGACATGCACGGGCACAATAATATAAATCCTTTTTGCTGACATTAGATTGGCTATTACATGTGTTTCCTTTTAGGTTACGTTGAACGCGAAGCAGTTATCAAAAGGTAGCGTGTGCGACGTAGCAAGTGGCTGTATTGTTGCTCTAGTAAAGCGATCGGCAAAGGTATCCTCAGTAACGAATGATTTCCTACAGACAGCCGTTTCACATTCTTTGCCATGAGTTACCGAGTACTTTGCAATGAACGTCAACCCGAACCACTTTAGATTCGACGATTGAAGCACTACTTGCTGCTTTGCAACTTGCTATACAAAATGACCTATTCCGTCCTAACTGCACTCGAACTATAACATAGTTCAACTAGAGAGCTTCACAATAAAGATTTTACACTGAATACACCGAAGGCTAGAACGAACATTCGCTCTAATTTTTCCTGGTCAGGTATAGTTATTTGTGAAATAAACTACCCATCACACTCAGGTCATGTGACAGTGGGGCAACATTTAGAAGCAGACTCTCCAATCACCTTGATGTAAATACCATAATCACCATAGTTACATGAGAAAAATCCTTCGATAAATTATTTCAAGTGGGTCCCAAAATATCCAGATACCAATCTTTTCATAACTAGGCTTTGGCCTCAACCGTGCGCCAGAACATAACTACATGAAACGCATACCCCATTGCTCCACTTAAGCATATCGCCCATGCAATAGCATGGATACTTTTGTACACTTTTATCTATGCCCCTATAGACACAGCTTCTCGCCTCAGGAGAAATGTACGTAATATTATTATTAATCATATGTTAGGAAGTATTAAGGGGATGAAGATGGTATGAGCTGAATGCATCCCATGTAGTCCAAATTAGCCGGTCAGCAACACGTCTCCATGGAGTACTAGAACTCGCGATCCTACCCTTACTAGTTTTGACTAAAACCACTGGGCCAAGATGGACGTTTTCGGCCAATGCCATTGAGTTTCTAAATGTGACAGCGCACAGCTCACTTTCCACCGACTTGAACACTGCTGCAACGCAGTGGACAGGGCATTCCGCTCTGAACGGCAGCTTCCCAAACTTAAGCCATCGTCTTGACCACAGTATTGTAGCAGCAAGATCGTGGGTTTTAACCCCAAAGCTCTCAGTTAGAATGCATACTGCTGACGATTTCTTAAAGTGTGAAAGCCCTACAGGGCTTCCTTGGGTGCGTAATGGCTGTCCGACTTTTCCCATATTTAACGAATTCAGTACAATTTGAATGTATTTTAGGTGTCGGAATGGATACGTTAATATCTTAGGTTAGTGGTCATCTTATGTCCTTTCCATGTAACCTAAGGGGCCAGTCGAAAGTAACTACTGAAAGACATTATAATCACAGTTTTCCGAATTACTGGTGAAAACCTCATCTGCACGACGACTGCACGGAGGTATCAGAAATGATAAAATGCGACTAAGGCACAGAAGACTCACACTGCTTCAGGTTTCCTGTACAAAGTTGGACTTAACGATTATCTTTCCAGATAGCAATTTTCTTTTCTGTACTTAGCATGGGGGTTAGATTATGTTCCCCATCGTTGTCCGGAATTTAGTTGATAGTTATTTTTGTTCTAAGAATCAATACTCAAACGGTTGTGCGCTTAATTTCTCCGAGCATAACGTGACACTACTTCATACTTACGCATTGATTAGGAATGACTAATGCATATTCTTCCTTTGTAAGTCTTACAAATCTTCCAATTTATTAGACAATTCTTATTTTCATCGCTTTTAAGTGCCAATTTATTACCCAACAATCTAGGATGATTATTCTTGTCTTTGTGACGAAAACCGTTTTTGGGATGGAGCTCTCAAGCAGTGCACCTGGGTGAGTCCATGTGCAAATGAGCAATTCCCAGCGTGTGTACCCCAGAATACACAACGATGTCTCGCATCCGATTCATTCAATGCAATATGTATTTGCAAAGCGGAGTTTATGGGCCCAGACTGCTCTCTGCCACGAGATGCTTGTAGACAATCCAGTGACCCGGTAAGTGCACTCTTTCAACGCATGTTACACATCATCCACTGAGTCCCAAGGATAGTCGTTTTGCTTTACTTTAACGTTTTGCAATGGATAATTTCATTCTACCCTCAACTTCTCCTTCTTCTTAACATGTTTAAATGACCGAATACTTATTTACGGACTGCTTTGGAAAACTTAAACCACTAACCGTCTTTTGCGATCCTGTTGAGCCAAATGATCAGATCACCTAGGTGGACTATACATGGGAATATACGACTTACTTTCAAGTACACAACGCGTAAGGTTGTGGTACAATTCGCAGCGTTTTTGCCATCGGGATAACGTCGCATTCATGACTCTCCTTGGGAGTAGGGGAACCTAACCAATACATTACATTAAACAGCATCTGGTGCACATAAGCAGGTGTCATCCGCACAATTGGCGTTGGGAACGGATTCGTTAGCGTTGATTAGCTGTTGAGCATCTTTGTCATGTAAGACACTTGATTCAAATCCCCTGTCTCATCGTCCATTATGCCGCTCGTCCGAATAACCCAACGCAGGCAAGCAGTATGTGGGACTTCTACCCAGAAACCGCAAGGTGCGAAGTGAGCACACCATCGGATAAACTACAACGATTATGCATGTTTATAAGTGCATTCCTTCTAACCCCACATTTACACGCCTTAGTATGCGCGTCGCAGCAACAATTTCAATTTTATCACCACGCCTGAGGGAAAATGCTTCGACGCACCCGGTGATATCTGCGAAGCTTTCGGTGCTTATTTTGCCAAATCAATGTTCAATGAATCATCAGACACACTAGCATTTATCATGCCGCACAACGGTGAAAGTCTATGCACAGTGGAATTCACCATAGCGAAAATCACTGGTCAAGTCTCTCGCTTATGCTCCACAATTTGCGCAGACCCTGACGGGATCCCGCTCGTTTAATTAAAAACACTGGTAGTGACTTCCTTCTGCTTTTGCGCAACATCTTCACACTCACTTTTAACAACGGAGTATGCCCTATTTAATGGAAAACTGCTGTGGTTATCCCGCGACACAAAAATGGCTCTGCCCACGAGGTTAAAAACCTTCGTCTCATCAATCATACACCCATCGTAGCTAGAATAATGGAACGGATAGTGAAAATGAACTATTTATATACTTGAACAAGACTAACACCATCAGCAATTTGCAATGCGGCTTCATGCAAGGTCTATCCTGCGCAACCTGCCAGACAGACTTTTTAAACCACACAATGGCAGCCACAGACAACGGAAACAGTGTTGAACAATGAACAATGAATTTATACGGGTTAAGAAGCGTTGCTTTACAAGTCCCGTGGGATAGTTGGTGGGGATATCAACATAACAATAATGATAATAAGGATAGTAACATAGTTAATACTTTAAATTTGAAAATAAGGACTTATCGTTTGCTTCGCTGTAGTCCTGCGATCCTCTTAGATTCACAGCACCCACAGTTAACAACAAATAATTCCATGGTAAACTCCAGTAGTAGGATGGAGACGTAGTGTTAAGTAACAAAGTGTAAGTGGATGAGTGCATCGTCCAACCGTCTTTTAAATACTGTTAGTGTCGGTGCAGAGACGACCGATTCTGGGAGAGCATTCCACGGGTGACAGACACGAATGGAAAAGAAATTTCTGCGGCACTCCAGACGACTGTATTGTTCTGCGAGTTTTAATGAGTGGCCCCTCAGGTTTGTATTGCTACTGAGTTGCAGTAAAGGGCGGCACACATGATGTGGGTCTCGCAGAATCAAGTATGCCATAATCAGGTCGCCTCGTAGTCTGCGATAGCTTCCACTGAACAATCCCAGTCGTCGCAGCCTCTCCTGGTAGGAAAGATTGCGCATTCCAATTACGTTCTTAGATGCCCGGCGTTGTGGCTGCTCCAGTGCATTAAGGTCGTGTTTCAGCCATGGATGCCAGGCTTGAATTGCATATTCGACATGGGGGCGAACATACGCACTGAGCATTTGTCGAAATATGGAGCTGTTTATTTGTCCAAATGCCCGCCTCAACAGCCCGACGTGTTGGTTCCCGGTCTTCGAGGCCTTTTCGGATTGCCTGGAGCAACCCAAGTCATCTTGAACCAGGACACCCAAGTCACGTTCGAGAGTTGATTGTTGCAGTACATCCGTTCCGAGTCGGTATGAGTAGCTGCTCTGATGTCGGATGGAAAGCACCTTGCATTTACTGACGTTGAAATGCAATAAGTTTTGGGTCGACCATTGATACACTGTATCTAAGTCACTCTGAAGCAGATGATGGTCGGCGTTCGCCTGGATCCTGCGCCAGATCTTGATATCGTCGGCAAACATTAGGAAGTTTGAAACGATTCCTTGTGCAAGGTCATTAATAAACACCAAAAACAAACGTGGACCTAGAACTGAGCCTTGCGGCACACCACACTCAACTTGTATGGGGTCCGATAAAGAGCTCCGAACTCTGACCACTAATTGCCGTTGAAGTAGAAAGTTGGCGATCCAGCTTAAAAGAGGGTCTCCGATCCCGTAATGCTGCAGCTTGGATAGTAGTATCCGATGGTCTAGACGATCGAAAGCCTTGGAAAAATCCAGGTAGATCACATCAACACCTTCTCCAGCGTCAGCTGCCTCGGTCCAACTACTGCGTGCAATTAGTAAATTAGTTGTACATGACCGCTGTCGACGGAAACCGTGCTGTTCAGGAGTGATGATGTTGCAGCTTTCCAGATAGCACACCAGTGCATCGGCAACTATGGATTCCATGACCTTGGAGAGTATAGGAAGAAGGGTTACTGGGCGGTAGTTGGAGGGATCAGTTCTGCTTCCACCTTTGTGAATCGGGCTTATTATTCCAAGCTTCCACATGGCGGGAACTTGGTTTTGGTCTAAGCAGCGCTGGAAAAACTGAGCTAAAGGTCCTGCCAGTTGGTTTGCTGCTGCTCCCAATGCCTCTGGACGAATGGTGTCGACACCCGGCGAGCTGTGTTTGCGTAGAGAAGTCAACTTTTGCAATACAGCCTCTGCGGTAAAAGTGATGTGGGTTAGTCCTGGCGAGCAGAAGACAAAGCTTGGTAGATCGCTTGGTGGCAAGACTCTTTGAAACGTGGGGGCGTATTGCATCTGCAGCGCGTTTGCTGCTTCCACCGCCGTTCTTGTTGGGCCATCAGCCGTCTTGAGTGGAGGAAATCCTTGCCTCACCTTTCGTAGGCTATTAACGTGCTTGTACAGCAGTTTGTGGTTAGCACTGAAGGTTTTTGCGATGTTCTGCTGATAGGCGGCTTTGTCTTCTCTTAACAGTTGAGTGCAGTGGTTGCGTTGGCTACGTAGTTGTCCCAAGTTTCTGGTGCTGGAGCTTCTCTGTACACTCGCCATGCTGCGTTGCGTACTGTCATCCATTTTCGAGTTCTGCTCCTAACGAAAGAAACTGATTTGCACTTATTGCAAGCTTTTATCTCTGAAGCCTGTGCAATCAGCTGACTGAATGTGTTGACGAACTCGAGCCAGGCGACTTCCGGGGGTTCTTCTTCGAGGAAAGACCATGTTGTGGCTTTGACTAGCTGGGCGAGTCGGTCGTACCTTGTGATGGTTCGCACAGTCTCATCGTTATCATTCAGATATTCTGCATAGCAGACGAAGTTGAAACTGATGACTGCGTGATCACTGCGACCCAACGGGCAGTCTAAAACCAACGCATCAATCATATGCTCCTCGTTGGTAAGCACAAGATCCAGCACAGATGGCCTGTTACCAGTTCTGAACCGAGTGGGCAAAGTGATGTGATTGTAAAGAGGAACAGTAGTTACTAGATCTTGTAAATCGGTTTTGAATTGTTCTCCGATCGTGGCAGGGGCTTCTAAACAATGTACGTTGAAATCACCCATGATAAGAATGTGAGTGTACTTTTGTTGTAAACTGCATCTTAAAGCAGCCGCTAGGTGGTAGTCGGTTTCGGGTGTTGAGTTAGGGGCGCGGTACACCAAGACAATAAGGCAAGCGTCCCTGCCTTTTAACTGCAATCGGCACCAAAGAGAGTCAGGGAACTGCGAGTCTGAATCCTCCACGGCTTCGCACTGTAAGTCGTTTCGGTAGTACAGGATTACCCCTCCTCCTTTTGTGAGCCTGTCGTTCCGGATCAGCGACATGCCGGGTAGCGAAACTTCAGCGTCCGTCATTCCCGTGTGCAACCATGTCTCGGTGATACCAATGACATCATACGAGCCGGAAGCTTGGCGATCTTTCAGTTCAGCCAGTTTGTTAGAAAGTCCCTGAGCATTTGTATACAAGCAGGCCAGTTTCTCGGTCTCTAGGAGCCCGCAGAGAGGTGAAGCTGTCAAGTGTGGGAGAATGCCGACCGATGGGAGGTCGGCAGTTACTCGTTTTTTTGATGGGTCAATGATACCTCGTTTGCAACTTGATTCGGCCAAGGTGCGTCCCAGCCTTCGTTTAGACCTACGTCAGAGTCAATTAAAGCAGCAGTCAAGTTATGCTTTTGTACATTCGTCAGTATGCTTGCTGCTTCAGTTGCTCTAATATTTGAGCTGTGCAAAGTGTTTGCGACCTTTAACCGAATTTCGGAAGGAAGATGTTTCCGATTTCTCCGCCATCGATCCAAAACATCCTTTGCTTGTTGCTCTGACTGAACCACAAGTTTTAGGATTCTAGGGCCGCATCCTCTATAATTTGGTGAGAGAGGTATCCTGGTGAGCGATAGTGCCACAACATTATCCAAAGAAAGTGTTTCGCGAATGAACCGCCACTGTTCTAAATCGTGCTTTCCGGTCTCTTGAACATCGTTAGAAGGATGTTCTGGCACGCCATGTATGAAGATTGTGTTTAGGCGGTCTTGCTTGCTGTGCCCCTCTTCGGTGTTTCGTTTTGGTTGTCGCGCGCTCCAAGGGACATCAGGATAGATACGTATCCCACAGGATTCGTGTTTTAGCGCGCTTGCGGAGAGCAAAACGTTTTCTACGTCGGTGGAGGATTCTAGAGTTACTCGAATAAGTCTGG